TACCTGGGATTGCCCTGACCCAATGCAGCACCCTGCACTTGGCCTTACTGACCCTCAACGGCTTCACATGGGCCCACTACTTCAGCCTGCCCAGCTCAACGTAGTCCTGAAATTGAGACCTTTCAAGTCCATCTTGTCAGACAATTTGTGACACTTCCACCAACAGTCCTCAAAAAATATTAAATTGAATTTTTGTAAACCAATGTTGTCATCCATCAAGATAGCCATAACATTTCCAATTAACAGCCATTACCTCCTCTGGCCTCGCAGTACCCTGGGCAGCCCTGTCTCCCAGCTCAGCATTTAACTCAGAAAACCCACACACAGAATTTCAGATTGTCTGCAGCGTTTTCCACAGAAACAAAAGTGGTAGTTTAGTACACTTATTAATTCAGATTCACTTATTAATACATTAATTCAGAAAGGTATTAAAAATAAAAAAAAAGGGATGTTTTGTATTTGACAGTCAGCTTTTCGGCCGTACCTCCTGATGATTGCTTTTGCACAGGTTTGACTCTGCGGTCCGTGTGAGCTGGCTTACATCTCTAACCCAAAGGCTGAGCTATCTTAAATCGCCTCACAAACTCTGGCTCGTGAGTCACAGAACAACCTGTTCCCCAGAAACGGAAGGTGTTCCACAGACCATTAAGCAAAAGGATGCCTGTGTGTCCTTGGGAAGTAGGAGAAAGAAAAAGGAAAAAAAACCATGAAACAGCCACGTGCTGTGTTCTGGAATAAGGCCTGAGCTGACCCAAATTCAGCAAAGGATTTCAACCAGAGCAGCCAGGATTGTTTATGCAGCATTTTTATGTGTTCACCGCTGACGTGTTTGGGATTCGCTGTAGATATTCTTCTCAGTCTACTTGAGAAGCATCACACAAAAGTCTGTGCTGTCCATTATTACCCAGCAGAATAATCAGAAACACAGCGTCCTCTGTCACAAAGGCATTAGCATCCATCAGTCTGTAAGAAAAATCAGCTACCTCACACAGAACATTCATTTAGATAGCATTTGTTATTCAAAAGAAACCTCGAGAGCTTTCTGAGGCAATCAGCAAAAGAACTGCTGTAAAACAGAGCAATCTTCAATGAGAACCCATTCTCAACACATTTAAATTGCTAATAATTTAAAAGCTCTATGCAATTCCCAATTAATTTTTCATGAGAAAGCAGCATGCTGACAACTTGATGAAACTTCAAGACAATCTGCTCAAGACACAGCAGCAGATATGATGCAGACTTTCTGTTTCATACAGTATTTTTGCACAAACTCCCAAGGAAGAAAAGACAGAAGCACGTATAATTTCATTGTTGAGCCCTCACTTGCAGCTCTGCTCTTCCCACCATGACACTGAGATTGCTGTGGTTTACCTAAGCTTACAAAGAGGGCTACCATCGTTCAATAGCTACAGTTCCATACATTTTCAAATACCATCTTAAAAACAAAACAAAAAACAAGACGGCAACCCATCCACACTTAAATATTGATCAAGCATGTTTTCTCCAAGAGAATTACAGATTTTTTTGGCTTAGTTATTTGAAATCTGTTTCTAACACTTATTAAAGCAGCCTTACTTACAAAATATCTGAAAAAAACACGCAGACAGTAGAGCAGTTCAGAAAGGGGGTACTGATTACTCCTCCTCCATCCTTACATAAACTTCTTCAGTCCTGACACAAAATGCTGATACTAGCTATGATCACACACAAGCTAGGAGATCTCAGGAGATCTCATCAACCTAAGGCTGATGGCTGTGCAACAGCATCAACATAAATCAGTATAGAAACAAAACAAAGTGGCCTATCCACCCATTCCTCAGTTTCTAGCACACATATTATACACAATAGTTGAATACTCTTTTCTAGCTTAAACAAACTAACCCAAGAGCAATGGTGGCTGTTCATACAGGGCTGTAGGGTTACATATATATATAAATGCACATTGTTTGTGTGTGTTTAGAACTTTATATATATAAAATTGACAGAAAAACTCCTATCGCCACATGTAATCAACGTTCCCCTCAAAGATCTCTAACCACACACGGCTTGAATAGAAAACAAAGAGTTTCAGGGGTGAGAACAGAGAAGCAAGAGATTACCTTCTTTCAGGCCTAAAATCCACATAGTGTCCAAGGCATCAATTAAGGTGAGCCCAAGGCCAAACCACTCGCTGTAAGACTTGGACAATGGCTTCAGCTCATCATGGCCCCAGGCAAAATCTTTGTACCCCTTCCACGCGTGGCGGAATGCTTCTATCACAGCCTTCTGGCGTTCGTTTATGGGCACTGCAAAGGAGAACATCTTGCTCAGGAGTTCTGCAGCAACGTCAAACACCATTTCACCAAATCACACCCAAATAAATCTTATTCTAAATCTCTGTGAACTGTACGGTAAGAAAAGTTCACTGGACCAGGCTGCCCAGGGAGGTGGTGGAGTCTCCTGCTCTGGAGATGTTCAAGACCTGCCTGGATGCTGACCTGTGCGACCTGCTGTAGGAACTGCTTGGGCAGGGGGTTGGACTCCATGAGCTCTGCAGCTCCCTTCCAACCCCTGCAATCCTGTGACTCTGTGAAAACATGCTCAGCTTATTCTTTTCAGCACAACCTTTTGTACGTGGGATAACTACTTGGTATCTGTGGTCAGCAAGTGAAGTAGGCACAGAGAATACACACGGACATCATTTCTCCAAATACATGTTAAAACATAACGAGATGAGAATTGCTAAAGCTCAAAAACGGGAAAATCAGGAAACACCAAAATTAAGTCTTCAAATCAACTGTAATTCAGCTGCTGCACACATGTGGCAACCAGTAAAGTCCTCACGTCATTTATCACACACACTTTTTCTTCACTTTCCCTAATTCATTAATTTCTGCTACTTTTTAAAGTCAGTTCCAAAAAAAAAGAAAAGAAAAAAAAAAAAATCACTTTTCTAGAGCTTTCCATTTAAAATCAGGAAAAAGAAAATAGATATCTCCTATTTTGGGCAAATCCACGTCTTTTTCCACAGTTCAGCTGGAGTCTTTTCTTGCAATTCACCACAGAATTGAACTTACAGTCCATACTGAACAACTAAATTCTCAAGCTCACCAGCTGAAATTTCCAAGTTACAAACAGAATTCCAGAGGGGGAAACATCCAGCAGTGTAACCAACCCCATCACGATCACATCAGTCCACACCAAATCCATCACTTTGTGCTGCGCCACATTTATCACACAGGAACTTCCTTACACGAACTCAGAAAGCAGCACAACGGGTTCCTGACTTCACCAGGACAGTAACTACACAAACAACTTCTGCAGCTTCCTGGCGAGCCTTAAAAATAGTTCAACTTCACTCAGGGAGGAAATCACTTTCCCTGGATTTGCAGAACAAAAGGAAACACTGCTGAAAAAAGGAGGGTGTCCCCTTTGAGCCCTCTCTCTTTGGACCATCTTTCCTGGCTCCTCCCGTAGGAAAGATCACAAAGGTTTGGCACTAAAATTTATTTTCAATACTACTGAAACTGTTTAAGAAAAGCAAAAAAGCTAGGAAAGAAAATCAGAATATAGTGTGTGTCCAAACAAAGCAGGAAAACATGCAGTTCAAGTATTTTGGTACATTGTTCTGGTTTCTCTTGTATGCGTTGAGATGAAATTGATGGGAGAGAGAAGCACCCAAAAGTCAGAAGTTCAGGGATGAAACCAGAGACATCTCCACTGTGCTCCCAGTGCATCAGGATCATCTCAAGGCAAGGAAACACAGAAGTCCCAAATCAGAAGCCTCTCTCCCTTACCAGAACCTTGCTTCAGACTTTTAGAGGAAACAGCTGCACAGAAGTGCACAGTTTGGGGGGAAAAGCACCTACCTTTGCATGTAAGTAAATAAGCCCCCCTGTAGTTACTGTCCTGATAATGTATGCAGGAGAACATGCTAAGCACCTAAAAGACAGGATGTCCAGAAGCAGACGGGCCGTTTGTGAGGCAGAGGTAGCAGTGAACTGCAAGCAATTGCACATACACAGCTCTGCAGGCTGCTCACACACAGTCTGTCCACTGTAGCCACAGCAATCTGTTTCCTGCCACAGCACCAAACACGTGAGCTAAGTTTTACATGTGCAGCAGAATAATTCTTATTCAGCATTGAAAACTGAGACTCAACACTCAATCAAAATCAACACTGAGACTCAAAACTCAATCAAAATTCTGAAAACTAATGAGCAGGAAAGGTGTCATGGTGGAATGAGGACACTGAAAAGTTTGCTGAACGTCGCAGGTAAATCATCTTTCCCACAGTTTTCATTCCTGTGTCCTTGTGGCAGAATTCTATTTCCATAAAGGAAAAACAGAAACAAACAAAAATGACAACAAAAATGATGTGAGAGGAGGAGCTGGATAATTTCAACAGCAGAAGTGAACAGGAATAAGGGTGCTCCACTCACCTGGTTCTTTCTGGCTTTCACCTTCCACAGATGAAGGTTTTTCTGGTTCCTTTACTCTACTAGATGGAGGTTCACTGCTTTGGTCAGGTTCTATCACTGCTCCTCTCCAGCTGCAGATGCAAGAGGCTGACATCAGTGCTTCACTCGCTCACATTAAGTCATGCAAATGAATGAGACTTACTATTTTTCAGTACACTTTGGATTTTGTATCAAGGGTCAAAACAACCATGTTGTCCACTCTATAACTTTTCCACTAAAAGAAAAAGTCATTTACACCAGAGAAATTGTGCTGGATTAAGAGAAGTGTCTTACACAGGCTGCTGGAATTTCATTAAGATCTTAACAACAGAATTTAATAAACTGAAGAACTTTTCTTTAAAGCAGCAAGACATTTGAGATTGCTGCATTAAAGTATTTTGTTACCAACCCAATTCTGAAATGACCATAGCAGCCACTGACAATTAGTGCCATAGAAATGAGAGCCAGGAATAAAGCCCACGAATAAAACAAGGGACTGGCCACTTACAGCAGTCACTTCCACACCAAGGGCTTACACACGTTTGCACACAAACACAGAAGCCTACATCAACTGGAAGAGGTTTCCATTAAGAATCTCCAGAAGGAAAAGTCTTTCAGAACACACTTCCAGTCAAGCCAGGTCCACATCAAGATCAAACCACCTCAACCACTGTGGTTTGTACATACATAGGTTAACTTTGATTCCACTGTACGACACGGGCAGACACTGACAGGACAAGATGGAATGATTTTAGATTAAAGCAAGGGAGATTTAGGTGAGATGTTATGAGGAAATCCTCTCCTCAGTGGGCGGTGAGGCCCCAGCACTGCTGCCCAGAGCTGTGGATGCCCATCCCTGGAGGTACCAAGGCTGTGGATGGGCCCTGTTGGGAGCTGTGCCCTAACTTACTGTTCCCAAATCTTAATTAAGCACATCTGCTGAACTACTGACAGCCTTTTCTATGTCCAACTTAAATCTTTTCAATTATTCCCAAACCAAAAGATTTCAGTGGTATCTTAGGGAATAACCCTTTATCAGCACAACACAGTCCTGTGTAAACAGCTGCACACACGTCCACAGCTTCTGCCAGGTCCACCTGGGACTAGCTTTGCTGTCTGGCATGATACCCCTAACCAACACTCTGACCAGCACAGCTCCCCACGTCTACTGCAGAAACAGAGAGGTCGTGTTATTGTATTTATGCTATTACATCAAGTGCAAAACAAATGGAAGAAATGCACACGTGCTGAAAATTCTGCAGGGAATTAACAGTGTCAGAAGGCATTAGAAATGCAGACCATCTAGCAGGGCTCCAATGCTCTGCAGTTCTACAATGCAAAGAATAAAAAAAGAACGCCTGCACATTCCCCCTAATTCAATAAATGAAACTACCAATAGCAAACACTGTCACACCGAACTGAAGAACAATACACAGAAAAAAATCAACTTCAGACAGACAACAAAACACAGTTTTCACTCCAACAGTGTCCAATGGATACCAATGGGGAGCAGGGGAATAAAAAAAATGAAATAACTACAATCTTAAAAAAGAAAAAAAAAAAGAAAATGAAAAAAGAATGTTGTGACTTGCTGGAAACCCTCCTACCTGATAACAGACTTCTCTGTTTTCTCCTGTTTATCAGCCTGGACTGGCTCTTCTGCTGCCTTGCTGGTGTCATGGCGGGTTTGCAGCCTCACATCCCCCCATGGGGGCTTGATCTGAAAATGGGAAGGATTACGCCGACCATGGGGTAATCTTGGTTTCTTCTGAGAAAAAGAAGAAAAAAATGTGCTCAGTACTTCACACAAACGGTAAAATTCAATCCATAAGCCAAAAGCATCCATCCTGATACAATACCAGCATGCAAAATCTGCCTTGATGCTGCAGCATCTTTGTGTTGGTGGTGATGCTAGCTCTGATTTCTTTCTTCATTTAACAGTTCATGAGGAAAATAGACAAAGAGCCACACAAGCATATGTGCAGCACCCAGCAGTCCTCTGCTCTGCTAATCCAAACAGCCAATTCTTGTTTCTTTCTCATCACACTGCACACAAATGTAACCCTTCACAACCCACTGAACACCCGTTCTGTTTGCTATTTTTCCAGCTATCACAGAAGCTGTGCTAATTCAGTGCGACACCGACTGCACCCTGCGTGTCACAGCCAGCCACTGCGCCGCTCAGGCACCTCACAGCTGTGACACTGACATCCAGAGCATTCCAGGTGCAGACAAATTCATTACAGCACGTAGGTGAAGCCTCCAGTAAAAAGCCAACGTGGCACACAGTCCTACCGCTCTGACGTGTGTCACTGACGGTGAAGAAGTAAAATGAACACTCGGATCAAAAAGTTAAAGCCAGGACACAAAGACCGTGCCAAGAGCCGTTCTGAGACGACAGCACTGAGCCCACAGCAGGTCTTCACCGAAAGCTGTAACATTCCTTCCCACAACAACCACTGGAAGGTATCGCTTTCTGCACCTCCCACAAACTCCTCGGCAGTCTGTAAATCCCAATTCTTCTCCTCATACCTGAGGTGAAAGCTCTGGGTAGTCTGCGGCGTTGGCATCTGCTTTCTGGGGCGCTGGGAGCACAGCTGGATTCGCCAGCTTTAATCTGGGAGCATCTGGTTCTGTTCCGTGCTCATCCGATGGTTTGTTTGTTAAACCTACACACATGAAAATGCTCAGCAAAGGCAATCAACTTCTGCTCTGCTAGGGATTTCTAACAGCCTGCATTCCACGTGAGAGCTCCTCCAAACAGTTTTTTTTTCATGAAACAGGGATGAAACATGCTACAGTTCTTAAATACAAAGTAGCACTTGGTACTAACAAATTCCTGAAGTCAAAGGAGGCTGCTGAAAGGCACGTGCCTTGTAATTGCCATTAACCTTGCTTCACAATACGGGCAAGAAGAATCAAAGGTAAATGTGCCTTCGTACTGTAGAAAACCTTGGAACTTCAGATCTTATAGACAATCAAAACCATCTTATCCTGCTGCTTAGGTTGGAGTTACTGATACCTACACACAAACGTTATGGAAAGAACATTCACAGCCTCCAAACCTTTATCAACTTAAACAAAATGTTCTTCAGTCAAGCCAACACAGAGGCGTGAAAAATACTTCTGATTAAGCAAACCCATTGAAACACGTCATAACTGTACTGCAATGGACAAAATCAGCCACTGTCACCACAATAAACACTATTCAGAAGCACTACCAAAATCTCTTCAGTGTAACACTACATTCAAGTAATTTACAGCCATACAGAACACGTACTTTTCCACGGTTCCCCCACACTTGTGTATGAAATGACTCCACAGACCGTCAAGAAGGCAAACAGGAAGAGAATTATGCTCCGCTGCAGTCGAGACAGCTGCTTCCATTTCTTCCAGAGAAAAAATAAGAGGAAGAAAATTTAGCACGACGTTAAGAACCCACTCCACCAAAACTAAACTCCTGTCTGTCCATTCAGAGCAAGGACCACAAAACTAAGTTTAATTTTACCCTCTTTTTCCAACAGAGAAGTTCACTGCTTATTTCCTCCAACGACAGAGAAAACAGAAATACAACATGTTGCCCTACAGCACAGCAAGTGTGGTGAAACAGGAGAGCTGCTTGCTGCAAGAGCCCTGGCGAATGCCACATGCTGAGACTGCCAGGCAGCAGCATCTGCAGCAAGCTGCCTTCCAGCACAGCCCTGCCTGAGCTGCGCTGAGCATCTGCCCAGATGTCAACTTGGAAACACGCCACAAATCTCATCCCTTCCTGCCCAGCGCTACTAAAGAACTGACGTGCAAAATGAAAACAGAAAACGTGGCAGGAAAGCTAAAAATATTACTGCAGCAAAGAAGAAAGGCTTTAAATAAGCTTCATATCAGCTGCTGCCGAGGAAAAGTATGGCGCACTGCATCTCAAAAACACATCTGTAGAACTGTCATACATAATGGTTTGTCACCAGAAGAAAAGCCACCAACCCATACAAAATAAGGTGAGCCAACAGGATAATGAACAAAACCAAAACAGGACAAAAAATGAAGTATTTAGACCAAATCACTGAAAACCAGACATCAAATCCCACATCAACCTAACAGAAAAGTCAGACCCAAGAACTCCAATCCATAGACAAAGAGGTCGGAGTTAAACATTAACTTAAGCTACCATTCTGTTGCTTTTTCTAAGAACAGAAGCAAAATGCATCAGAGCAGGAATCTGCTTCCAGTTACTGCCTTTGGCAAACAGGGAGCTTCGGCATTAAAGCCACAACCCGCAGCTTCCTACGGACCTCCCGCACCTCACAGCGCTTCCTACAGCCCTCCCTCCATAAGGGCCAGAGGCCGTGGACGCCCCAGCGCAGACGATGCCGCCCCGCAGCTCCGCCCCACGCACCCCACAGAACGCTTCTCCTGCTCCGCCGCCTCCAGCTCCCCACCGTGACATCCCGACTGCGATGGAAGCCGCTCCCTTCACCCCTGCACGGCAGCCCCGTCCCGCACAGCCCGCGGCCCGCCGCCCTCACCCGCCAGCAGGAGCGCCGCCTCCAGGCCTTGCTGTTGTTGTAGCCGCCGGCGCCCGGCGCCTCCTCCGGGCTGAGGGTGACGGAGATGAAGTCCCGCCTGGGCGGCGAGGCGGCGACGGCGGCGGCAGCGTACATGGCGGCAGCCTCAGAGGCCGCAGCCCGCCCGCCCCGCGCCCAGCCGCCCGCCGCCCCACGCGCCCGCCGCCATTACCGCGCAGCCTCCCCGCACCGAGCGACGACCCAGCGGTTGCTTCCGGGTTCCGCTCTCTCACCCCGCAGCACTTCCGGGTGCCGCTCTCTCAACCCGCAGCTCTTCCGGGTGCCGCTCTAGCCCCGCAGCACTTCCGTGGCTCTATGGCGCCCCCAGCACGCGCCGTAGCGACGGCGGGCCGGGCCTGAGCGGGAGCTGGGGGGAGGTGCGGGTCTGAAAGAAAGGCGGGGCGGGCGGGGCGGGGGAGCTGCCTTTACGTTAAGAAATGGAGGTTAAGTGCAGAAGGCTGAGGTACTCAGCATTTCTTTTAGCTCAGTCTTCGCTGGCAGCCAGGCTTCTTGTGTCCGTCACATCCATGGCCCTCTGGGTGGGAGCAAAGTCCCCCTCAGTGTGAGTTCATGAGGCTGAGTAGAGCCTGCATGCACGGGCCTTAAGGAGATGATTGCCGAGCCACTCTCCATCATATTACATGTCATGGCTGTCAAGCAGAAGTCCCTGGGGACTGGAAAAAGGAAAATGCCACCCCCATTTGTAAGGAAGTGAAAAGAAGGGCACAGTGATCTGCAGATCTTCCTAGAGAACATGTTAAGAGCATGCGAGGAATGAGCAGGTGATCTGAGACAGCGCAGCATCGTCGAGGTCAGACTGCAACACCCATCTGGTGGCCTTCTATAATGGAGTGACAGTATTGGTGGACTGAGGGAGAGCCACTAATGTCGCCTTCCTAGATCTGTGAGGTTTCTGCAATGGACCTGCAATGGACCTGCACCACATCCTTATTTCTAAACTGGAGAGAGATGGATTTGAAGTCTGGGCCATTCTGTGGATAAGGAATTGCTTGGATTCATGGCCATGGATGGGCCTGGGCTGCCTCAGCTGGTGTTTGATCTAGAGGTTGGCAACCCTGCCCATGACAGATGATTGGAATTAGACAATCTTTTAAGTTCCTTCCAATCCAAGCCGTTCTATGATATTCTGTCCCCCAGCATGAGAAATTAAGCAGAGGCAGGAAAGCAGCAAGGCTGAAAAAGGACCTACTGGTCAAACTAAGAGGAAGGAAGGACGTGTACAGGCAGTGGAAACAGGGATAGGTGGGAAGAATACAAAGATGCCATTCAGATGTGCAGTTAGGATCAGGAAAGTGAAGGTGCAGATGAAGCTGAACTTGGCAAGGGACTTGAAAAATAACAGGAAGAGAATCTACAGGTACACTGGTCAGAAAAGGCAGAGCAAGGAGAGTCTACCCTTTCTGATAAGTGAAAAGGGAGAACTGGCTCCAGGAAAATCTCACTGTGGCCTTCTGGTGCTTAAAAGTAGCTTATAAAGGGGAGGGAGACAGATTTTTTTACACAGTCTGATAGGAATTGGACAAGGGGGAGTTGGAAACCCCCCTGAAACTAAAAGAGAGGAGATTTAGGTCAAATATTAGGGTGAAACTCTCTACTCAGAGGGTGGTGAGTCCCTGGCATAGCTGCCCAGAGCTGTGGGAGGTGCCCAGTGCTGTGAATGGAGCCCCTGGCAGACTGATCTAATGGTTGGTATCTCTGTCCATGGTGGGGGGCTTGGAACTGGATGGACTTTAAAGGTCTGTTCCAACCCAAGTCACTCGATGATATAATTCTTGCTGCCCACTTCTACTGTCACGTCCCCCATTTTCTATAATGCCCCCAGTCACCCTGATATGATCACTACTTTCAGGTCAGAGGAGCTTCAGGGATGTAAGGATTTCTTTCCTCTCCTTGCCAGCCCTTGCCTTCTACATACTCTCTCTCACCACATGGCCTGACCTTGTCCAAGCAGGACTTGGGCATCTTGAACAGGAAATGAGGTACAAGGAGATGTTGAGAGCCCTCCTGTTCTTCTGTGTTGTGGGATCACAGGACAGACCAGTCACAAGAAGAAAAGTGACTGAGCAATTGGAAGAAGGCTGAATGCATCTGGGAAGGTGCATTTCCCACCTGCCTGGTAGGCTGCTCTGGTGGGGATGTGGGTGCAAAGGGTGCAGAAGTCACCATGTCTTGTCAGGAAGTGTCCTGGTGGGAGGATGGTACCAGGGCTGCGGTGCATTGCACACACCCTCTGCTCCAGCCCACCTGGAAGCTGAGCATGGCACAGGAGACCCAAAGTTCCTCTGAATCCCAGAGGACAGAGCAGTCTAAAACATGCATCCTAACAGCCTGCATCACTCATCCCCCCACCCCAGTCCAGGGCAGACATCACAGGAACTCTGTCCTAAGAGCTGAGGGGTGTGAAAAGGCATGAATGAGACTCTGAGAGGGCAGAGTTGACTGAAGGGATTTTCAAAATAGTTTGGTACACAGCAGGATCCATACAATCCCTTCCCTACCTGCTCCTTCACAGCCCTTTCTCACATGCCCTTTGCAAAGAGCATCTTCCTGAAGGAGGAGGAGGGGCAGCACCATTTAATATTGTACACATTTAGAGCCACATTGCCTGTGTTTCTGTATTATCCACTGCCACCTCCTACATTTGGGAACCAGGTTATGTTTACATCAAGTTCACAGTTCAACAGGGAGAAAGAGTGTGGCAGCAGGCATGGATACTGCTGTAAGTGCTGGCCTAGAATTCACCTCCCGGTGTGCCTAGATATTCAGTTAAGGACATCATTTGGACCTTTAAATTTGGACTCTCCTTCAGGTAGAGTCCCTAAGATAAAACTGAGAGCTAAGTTAACATCTCATGATTTAAAAAAAAATCTCAGCCCCCAACAAATTGTTCTGGTAAGTATCAACACCGCACAAACAAGCAGAGAAACAATTCAGCAGAACCCTGACACACATTCACATTTCAGTACTCATTTTCCTACCACAGCAAACTACCAATTCACATAGCTTAAAAAAGCATTAAAAAACTCCAGCAGCAGCAACCTTCATATGGGTGACAAGAGAAAAATGTGGAATGAAATAGGTAAAGCAGAAAGAACGTCTGCTTTGGGTCTTTGCTGGGTTCAGCACTGAGCCCCCAATAGAGAGGACAGCCTGTCACTGTGGAAAAACTGCTCTGGGGGAGAATAGTGCTCTGTGAGCTGTCTGATGGAAAAACACAGCAGTGTCCAACTGCTTCGGGTATTTGCTGAGTTCCATGTCACCCTGCACATCAGCCATGGCCACTGCAGCCTCCAGCTGTGCCAGCAGTGGTGCCATGTCAGTGTCCCGCAGCTGTGTGACAGCACGGCGGTGCACAGGAACAAAACCACCTGCATTTCCTCACAAACAAGGCAGACAGACACATAGAAATCACAGTACATCTTTATTATCAAAATGCTTCATAGTCCAAAAATTTCTGGAAAACAAAACACACGAGGCATTCAGCATCCTAATTCCTCTTCTCCTCAAAGACAATCTCTAAAAACATATCAGCACTTCAGTGTTCATACGATTAAAGCATCCACAAAATGAACTGCAGTTCAGTTTCAAAAAGCATTCTAGAAAGCATAGAAGAATAATCTTTCTTTATAGCACAGTGCAATTTAAAACAACCCGGGCCTGAACCGACGAGCAATGCTCTCAAAGATGTAATGCAATCAGTCTTGGACGCAAAACTCAACAGACAAGAATAGAAATGACCCATAAAAATGCACAATAAAAAATACAGAACTGAGCGTCACAGACAAATGCTCAATTTCTACTAAAAATTCTACTAAAAATACTGGTTGCACATGCAGCAAGAGGTAACCAGAACTGTAATTAGCTGGTCTGCACATATAACAGGTTAATTACTCATGCGTATGCAGATAACTTCCTATCTGTAAATTCTGCCGTCAGCATTTAGGCGGTTTCTCTGTAAAACACGAGCCTACTTACACATGATAATTATTCTCAAAGCTATTTTTATTTCCTCCAACATTCTGAATACAGCTTCATAGGAAGAATTTCAGAAATTCAATTATATAAAAGATCGATGCTTAATATCAGCATTGACAATTCCATAGTAGAAGCAGAGACATGAAATGCCTCATCTGAAACATCTTCTCCCCTTCCAGTACTTGAAGGGAGCAAATAAACAGGAGGGGGAACGGCTGTGTGTGAGGGTGGATGGTGATGGGACAAGGGGAATGGCTTTAAAGTGAGACAGGGGAGGATGAGGTTGGATGTTAGGAGGAAGTTTTTGAGCCAGAGGGTGGTGAGGCACTGGCACAGGTTGCCCAAGGAGGCTGTGGATGCCCCAGCCCTGCAGGCATTCAAGGCCAGGCTGGATGTGGCTCTGGGCAGCCTGGGCTGCTGGTTGGTGACCTGCACACAGCAGGGGGTTGTGCTGGATGAGCGCTGTGCTCCTTTGCAACACAGGCCATTCTAGGATTCTATGGTTCATCACCTTCCTTACAGCTGACTGGGGGAAACGCAGTGTGTGCTCGTCAACCCAACCCCGCTCAGCAACGCACCTGAAGAGTCCTCCTGAGGTGTGAAATGACTTTGGTGTGTAGGATCTGCTGCTGCAGAGCAGGAGCTGTGAGGCACGGCCACCCTGTGACCCCTCCGCCAAGGCTGGGCTGCTGTGCTACTGAAATTGTGCAAATTACCTTCCTTCGTTAGTTGATATATCATAGTCTGTAACCTAGGATAAGAGCAAGGCATCTAAAGAGTTATTTCCTTAACTGAAAAAGTGCTGAGAAGCGCCCCACTGGAAATTGCAGAAGCTGAGGCGTTTTACTGTTACACTGCTTACATTGGGATTAAGCCTCAAATTCTCCCTCACAGCTTGTTCCTCCTGTCACTGTCACCTTCAGGCACTTCACAGGAGCGCCTCCCTGAGGGATGGTGTATGTATCAAACGGAAAAATGGAAAGCAAAATAAATGACTGTCCTAAGGGAGGAAGAGAAGGCTGTTGTGAAAAGAGTTCTCAGCCTTCTTCTTTGTCCTCTTCCCCACCTGCAGGTCACTGCAGCTGTAAAAAGCAATCACTCTGAGCTGCGTATTTACT